TGTCCGGGAGTCGACTCCACTCCTGGTGACCCGGTGTGTTCTGAGCCCAACTGTGCTCCACAGGGTTTCAGGGCTGAGTTTCAGGCCTTCCTTCCGGGTGTCTCTGAGTGGGTTTGAGCCTCTGATCTCTTGGCTACCATTTACACCACCCAGGGGCTCCTGTCTTCTAGATTTTGCAATATTTTTGGCATAACATCGCACACAGTATTCTCAACACTTTAAAAGTCTCGCCATAACTATGACTGAGCCCCTTTTTCCTAGTTCTAGTGTGGATTTATATTTCTTCTCCCCCTCTTTTGAAAAACCTTTATCCTGAAATATGCACAGATAAAAGCACAGGAAACACCAACAAACAGCTGGATAAAGGAATACACAGAAGGAAACTGCTTGCAACCACCACACAGGCCTGGAACATTCTCAGCACCCCAGAAGCCCCCTCCTGGCCCCCTCCCGGTCTTAACCTTCCACTTGCTCCCATCCAAGGCAGCCCCATCCTCATGGGCACAGTCATTCTTTCCTTTCAACTTTTCCCACTATGGTTCGTTTCTTCGTTGTATGGTTTTGTTTTTTTCAGGATGGTCTGTTGGGTCCCTTCCCCAGCCTTCCCCCCCCCCCGCCCCCACACACACACAGACAGTGGGAGTCCAGGGCCCAACACCTCCCACTGCAGGGAGGCTGGAGGTCTGTGAGAGCCGACCCTGGCCTCCAGGCTAACGATCCTCAGGTGGGAATTCCTTTTCCTGCCCCTTAGCAGGCACAACCTGTGGCAGGTTATTAAAAGCTTTAAGCTTCAGTCTCTTCTCTATAAAGTGAATTATTGGAAGGCTGAGCGCTGTAAGGCATGGAAGGCCTTCAGCTCATTTCTGGCCTTTAGTAAGCAGGACGCAAATGCTAGCAATTATTCTTTTACTTCCCTCCTCCCTACTTTGGGTGTTATAAACTGTTAACTTGCTCGGCTGCTTAATGAAAGGTCGGACGTTCAAGCAAGGCCTGTCAACTTCCTTCAGAAGACAGCCCTGGGAAACCCGGTGGAGCACAGTTGTACTCAGACACACAGGGAGCCGCTATGCGTCGGAGTTGACTCCACCAAAACTGGTTTTATTCTCAGTGCCTGCCATACTTTGCAGGGGAATCTCTTACTTCGCCAACAAGGCCCAGCCCGAATGCTTCAGCTTCGATGACAGCCTCCATCAGATGACTTTCTCCTCTGGCATCTTTTGCTCACACTACATTCCTATCTTCTAAAAGGCCAATAAAAATGTCTGCCATTTATTGGGCCACTACTTCATGCAGACTCTTCTGACACATGCTCTGTAATCCTTGTATCCACCAGGACAGGTAGATTATAGCTCTGTTTTATGGATGAGCAAATTGAGGCTCGTAGCAGTTAAATGATTTTGCCCAAGGTCACAGAGTTGGGAAGTGACCAAGCTGGGACTCAAATCCCTGAGGGCAGGATCCAACTCTGTATTTCCAGCCAAAGTAGCTGCTAGCCTGTACAGCGCCTTTTCCTCTGGGTGGACACAGACCCGCACCTGGGTGTGTGCCTTGGGGCAGGCATCCAGGCAGGCTGTGGGCCCCACTGCTCTCTGGTGTAAGGCACAGACTGTCTTAGAATAAGCAACAACACTGTCCCAGCTCTCAGCCCCACTAGACCTACCTGAACTGGCGAGGCAGACCCACGGCAGTCACAGACTCCCCCGTCCCTGGGGAAAACGGTGGGCCCCTGCAAAATGTCTGCTGAAGCCCTAAAATCTAATTTACCCTGGAGGGCCCAGAACACGGCCTTCCTTGCTACCTCTGAGCCTCCATGGCTGAGACCCTGTGGGGACAGGAAGTAGGTCTCCTTGCTCCGTGCATGGTCCTTGTCACCATCGAGTTGGTTCTGACTCACGTGACCCGCGTGTTACAGAGTAGAACTGCTCCATCGGGTTTTCATGGCTGTAAAACTTCACAGAAGCATATTCTTGGCACTTTCTTCTGCTGCACCACTGGACGGGTTCAAACCACCCACTGTTGGGTTAGTCCCCGAGACTGAATCGCTTGTGCCACCCACGGGCCTTTGTGCATGGTAGTTGTGGGGCCTTTTTGTTTTGTTTTGTTTTTTGGTGATTTGAGTGAAAGTTTGCAGAGCAAAATTCATTTTCCATACAGCAATTCATACACATTTTGTCTCATGACATTGACTGCAATTTCCCACAGTGTAACAGCTCTCTTCCCACTTCCTCCCTGTAGTTACCTCTTCCATTTCCTTCCCTCCCATGTACTCCCACCCCTCGAGCTGTCTCCCTGTGCATACACTGCCCTTCTGTTCTCCCATGATTGATTGCTCCAAGTAGTGTAACTTGTGAGGCCATTTTAAAGCCAGCTGCCTTTGCCCTCTTGACCTTGAGGCACTGACTATACAAAGAAGTGGTTAGAGGCTCCAGAGCCAGACAGCCTGGTTCAAGTCCTAGCTCAGTCATTTCTGTCTGCACTACCTTGGGCAAGTTACTTGCCTGTGCTTCAGTTTTCTCCTCTGTAAAACTGTGATTAAAGTCAGTACTTACCTCATAGGGCTGTTAAAGGGATTAAATGAGTTTATACATGCTTGGTACAGTGCCTGGGATAGAATAAGGCTCAGTCAATGGTAGCAATTAGAATTCTTCCGCACTCCGGGCTCCTAGAGGTCCCTCCCTCCCCGAAGGTGGTCTCTTGCAGCCTCAGCCCCAGGTGTAGGCACATTCTTGAAGGCCCTCCCTTAGCCTTCATAGAGCCTGGGAGTTAGGAGGACTGGCTCCTAAACCAAGGGCCAAAGATCCAGAAGGCTCCGGGAGGCCCCAGCAGGTTCCACCTCTGCCCCAGGAGGCCAGGCCCTCAGGCAACTCTGGGTCCAAACCATTCCCCAGGCCTGGGACCACCCTGACTGAGGTGGGTGCACCCATCTGACCCAGGAGGATGGAGGGAGGAGAGAAGGTACATGAAGGAAAGTAGCACTGGCTGAAACTCTTGAGTATGCTGGACCATAGGGAGGGCTTTACAATGTTATTTATTTTTCAATGCTCTGTGAGTTAGGTGGTACCAACCCTTATCTCACAGTTGTGGGAAAGAGGCTGAGAGAAGTTAAGTAATATGCCCAAGGTCACACAGCATTGAGATTCTGTTTGGCTACAGTCTGGGCTTTCTTTGTGCCACTTAGTGTCCTAAGATGGGCAGCCCCCTGGGGTTGGGTGTGGACAGCCCTGAAGGAATGACCAAGGTGAGACTCCCAACTCCAGAAATAAAGGACCCCACCACATGTCAAGGAGCTCTGGTAGTGTAGTGCCTAAGGCACTTGACTGGTGACCACAAGGCCGGCGGTTCAAACCCACCAGCCACTCTTCGGAAGGAAGATGGGGTAATCTACTTCCGTAGCGATACTGCCTTGGAAACCCAAGGAAGGGTTGCTATGAGTTGGGTCTGACTTGATGGCACTTAACAACAACAACACCACATGTCAGAGATCGGGGTTGTGTTGAATTTGTCAATAAATTTGTCAATAAATAATGCCATCTTAATAACATGAAGTCTTCAAACTGATAAATATGAGATGTCTTTCCATTTAAGTCTTTTAAAATTTATTTAAACAATGTATTATAGTTTTAAAAAAACACAAAAAGGTGGGGGGGGGCAGGTTTGCTGGTCTGATAGAGTGTGATGGAACCACTGAGACTATGGCCCCTAACTGCCCTTCAGGTCTGGAATTGAATCCACTCCAGTGGCTTCAGCCAAACAAAAGACAGGTATATGAGGTGAACATTTACACCAGGTAGATACATTCCTTGGAGAGAACAATCATGGGAAAATAGAAGGGCTGTGTATGCACAGTGAGACAGCTGGTGGGGGGGCAGGAGTGCATGGAGGGAAGGACACAGGGAAGGGGTATCTATGGGGAGGAAGTGGGAGGGGAGCTGCTGCATTGTGGTAAACTTCAGTCGATGGCATGAGACAAAATGTATGTGAACTACTGTATGGAAAGTGAATTTGCTCTGTAAATTTTCACCCAAATCACAATTAAAAAAAACGAACACCAAAAAAAAAAAAAAAAAACCACCATGTATTATAGTTTTCAGAATTGCAAGCTGTGTACTTTTGTTAAATTTATTCTAAGTATTTTATTATTTTGATGCTATTATAAAAGGAATTGTTTCCTTAATTTCATTTTGGATTGCTCATTGAAAAAAAAAAATTCCATACTCACTGCCATTGACTCGATTTTGACTCATAGTGATCCCCTTTGGGTTTCCGAGGCAGTAAATCTTTACAGCAGTAGATTGCCTAGGATTCTTTCGGAGGAGTAGCTGGTGGGTTTGAACCACGCACCTTCTGGTCAGCAGTCAGATGCCTTAGGCACTGTGCCACCAGAGCTCCTTTCCTCATCACCAGTGTATAGAAGTACCTTGATTTTTGTATCTTAATCTTGCATTGTGTAACCTTGCTGAACTTGTTAGCTCTAATACATAGTTTTACTTTTAAAAATGGATTCTTCAGATTTTTCTACATACAAGATCATGTCACCTGCGTGTAGAGAGATTTTACTTTATTTGCAGTCTAACCAAGCACACCAAACCTACTGCCATCGAGTAGATTGCGACTCATAATGAGTCTTTAGGACAGAGTAGAACTGCCCCCACAGGGTTTCCATGACAATCAATCTTTGCGGAAGCAGACTGCCTCATCTTACGCCTGCAGAGCAGCTGGTGGGTTCAAACCATTGACCTTTTGGTTAGCAGCCCAATGCTTTAATCACTATGCCATCTAGATGCCTTCTATTTCTTTTTGTGCCGAATTACCCTGGCTAGAACCTCCAGTAATCGAGTAGCCTGCCATATCATTCTCTAGCAGAACAGCTGATAGATTTGAAACATCAACCTTTCTGTGCAGCCACGCGCTTAACCACTAAGCCACAAGAGCAGTTCTTCACTGCCCTGTAGGGTTGCTATTGGCTCAGTGGCGATGGATTTTTAGAGCCTTTGGTGGGCGCAGTGGTGGTTCAGTGGTAGAATCCTTGCCTTCCATGCAAGAGATCTGGGTTCTATTCCCAGCCAGTGCGCCTCAAGCACAGCCACCAGCCATCTGTCAGTGACGCTTGCATGTAGCTGTGATGCTGAACACGTTTCAGCAGAACTTCCAGACTGGGAAGGAGGAGGAAGAAAGGCCTGGTGATCTACTCTGAAGATGAGCTGATGTAATGCCACAGGCCACAGCAGCTTGTGTAGCTGGTCAGGGGGATGGCACAGGCTCTGATAGCTCCTCACTCCCTTGAGCACGGGGTCGCCGAGAGTCAGGGACTGACAAGGCACAGCTAACAGTAACAACAGCACCTCCTGGGCAACGCCAAGACGGGCTGAGAAGGCACGTCGTTCTCTCGTTCTGATCTAAGCAGGGAAGTGTAGGTCTCTCCACCGAGGCTGATGTTAGCTGCTGTTCACTGCTGCCCTTGATCACGTTCAGGAAGCTCCCTTCTATTCCGACTTTGAGGACTGTTTGTGTCATGAAAGGAGAGTCATTTCTTTTCTTTCTTTTGTAAAATTGTTATTGTGATTTGGGTGAAAGTTCATCCAAATTCATTTTCCCTACAGCAGTTCATACATAAGGAGCTCTGGTGGTGCAGTGTCTAAGGCATCTGACTGCTAACCAGAAGGTTGGCAGTTCAAACCCAGGAATTTTGCTTGCTTCTGCAGAAGCAAAACTGGGCAATCTAATTCTATAAAGATTTACTGCCTTGGAAACCCAATGGGGGTCGCTATGAGTCAGAATAGCAATGAGTTTTTTTTTTTTTTTTGGTTTGAGTTCATACATATTTTGTTTCTTGACATTAACTTCAGTTCCCTACAATGTAACAGCTCTCTTCCTACTTCCTCCCTGTAATTATCTCATCCCTTCGTCCTTTCCTATGCACTCCTACCCCCTGAACTGTCTCTCTGTGCAAATACTGCCCTTTTGTTCTCCCGTCATTGACCATTCTAGGGAATATATCTACCTGCTGTAAATGTTCACCCTCTATGCCTGTCTACTGTTTGGCTGGAAGCCACAGGAGTGAGTTCAATGCCACATCTGAAGGGTAACTAGGGGTCATAGTCTCAGGGGTCTCACTCGGCTCTACCAGACCAGTAAACCTGGTCTGTTTTTTTTTTTTTTTTTATGATTTTGAGTTTTGTTCCACGTTGTTCTCCCACTCTATCCAGGATCTCCTGCACTCATCCCTTTCTCAGGGGTTGACAGTGGTAGCCGGGCACCATCTCCTTCTGGGGACAGTCCTTTCTTTTAAGAGATGGCAAGAGGTCATTTGGACCATTCCCAGCTCAGGCTTGTTTGCTTCGTACACGAGGACTCAGTGCTACTGCCAACCTCTGCCAGAGGTGAGCTGTCTGGGTCCTCAGATTCCCACCCAAGTCTGGGGATGACAGGGGTCTGCCTCCATGAATGAGACCCCTCTCCAGACTTCACAGCTCAACACTCTCAGGTCCAGCCCCTCCTGGCTTGTGCGTGGACACAGCCTCTGGTGGGCACTTTGAGGAGGCCATGGTCTGGAAGCAGGAGATGGAGAGAGCCACAGGCAGGGCGGTGGCTGCCAGACGTGGGAGTGGCTGTGGTCTCTTGTTACCAGCTCAGACAGTGTTATGGGCCCTATGCCTGTCCAGAGAGGGAGCAGTAGGGGGACAAGAGAAGGGGCTGCCCCCGTGTTGACCTTCCACCCAGTGACACAGGAAACACATACTGAACCAGCTCTGCCCTCAGGAGACCCCGGGCCTGTTTCAGGAGCCTCTTGACCACTCTCATCCAGCCCTCCTCCAACCTCCTCCCCAGAAACAGCTCTACTTCTTGCCTTCCTGCCTTTGGCCTCTACCCATCCCCTCCCTCTCTCCCAGTTCTTCCTCAGGGATCACTTCCACTGGGAGATGCCCCTCCCCCCCACTGTGCCATAGATGGCTTTGGCAAACAGCAGGTGCTCAATAATTGCTCCTTCCCTGGGTTTACAGGCAGAGGCTTAGGTGTGCTGGGGGAGGAAGGATAAGTGGGGGGGGGGGAGGGGGCCGAGAGTGGCAGGAGGAGAGGAGACAGAGCCCGCAGTGGGGGCCTTAGGGGCTGGGACTCTGTTCTCCGATTCCAGCCCCGGGAGAGGCCCATTCTTCAGGAGCGACTCACTCGCCTCACCCGCCCACTCTCACACCTGGGCTCCCGGCATGGCATCAGTGAAGATAATGAGGCCAGCAAGGTATTTATGGTGCGTCTTCCTGGAGGAGCCTGGTGGCTTCCCAGACATGACCTCAGTGCTCGCAGGACAGCCTCGGGCACCAGGTGGGTGCAAATCGGCAACAGGAAATGAAGGGCCAAGAGGATGAAGGTTTACCAGCATTGCTGTCCTGTGGGCCAGAGGGTCTCGGGAAATAGGGGACCCTCACCCTCAATTCACCAAACGCGTGAAAGTCAGGGAAGTTAGAACAAAAAGGCCCAATGAGGTCCTTCTGCTTCTCGGGGGATTCCTGGCCCGCCTGAACCCCACCTTCCTCTGTCTGTACCCTGCTTTGCCTGACAGGGGTCACCTGCTCCCCACCTCTAGACCTGACAGCTGTGGTGTCAGCAGCCACTCTCCCTAGTGGGTCACAAATGGTGCCCTCCTGGGGTGAAGCAGCTGCCACAGCCCAGCACCCTTCTTGCCAGGCACTATTGGGGAAACCAAAGAACAGGCTTCACTCTTACGTTGGGGAGTCTGAGGGGGATAATGAACCCAGCGAGGCCACGAGAGGGGAAGAGGGAGGGTGGGCTATGCATAGGTGGGTGGCAGCGGCTGAACTGAGCCCTAAAGCCCTAAAGCACCTTGGCTTGGGGCTGTGGAGGAGGGATGGATCCCTGAACTGCTGGGTCTTGACTAGGTGAAGAGGCCAGGTCTCCACACCCCCAGGGTGGCTCAGCATCAGGCAGATCCCCCTCCTCAGACCCTGTACAGAGCATCAGCCTGAGGGTCCTGGGGTCCCTGCCATGTGTACCAGCTCTGACAGTGAGGCCTCTCCCTGCTGGGTGCTCCGGCCGGACTCATGTCCACTCCTCACTTGAGCTTTGCCTGCATGGCTGATCTCAGCCTGGGCTTTGGAAAACCAGCGCTGTCTACTAAGGCCCTGACAGCAGTCCTTGGAGGTATGTGCTTTTATTAAACCCAGTGAACAGAGAATGAGGCATAGGGCAATTCAAACCTTGCCCAAGGTCACGGTCCTGGTGGCAGAGCCTCAGCTGTTGTGATGCTCTGTCTCAAAGATTGCTGGCTCCCTGATGGCTCAGGGGGCAGGAATGCATAGGAAAGGACACAGGGAAGAGGTAACTACAGGGAGGAAGTGGGAGGAGAGCTGTTACATGGTGGGGCATTGCAGTCAACGTCATGAAACAAACTGTGTATGAAGTGTTGTATGGAAAATGAATTTGCTCTGTAAACTTTCACCCAAATTGCAATAAAAATTAAAAAAAAAAAAAAAAAAAAAAAAAGATTGTGGCTGTGTGAATGTTGGGGCTGGGGTTTCTGCAGTGGGAGGTGATGTTCTTTCGTGGCCTCTGATTCTACTCCGCCTCACTCCCCGGGTCATGGAGTGAACTGCCGGGAGCCGGGTAGAAGGGAAGGCTGAATGGGAGGGAAATCCGTCCTCCTGCCTGTCCACCCTAGGAGCTGGTGTCAGGGTGTAAGTTGGGGAAGCCAGCCCCTTGGGTAGGGACCACCCTGGGGCACACAGTACTACATCTGGCATCAAGCACCCCCCAGCTGAGGGCACAGCCCTGGCCTGGCTCTGTGAGGGACTAGAGACAGCCCCCCACCCAGGCCTCGTGGTATCCTCCTGAAAGGAATGGCAGGGAAGGTGAGTGAGAGCCCCAGGCTGGGTGTGGGACAGCTGCCTTCTGACCCTGGCTGGCCCTGACAGGCTGGTGACCTTGGACAAGCCCGTTCTCTCTCCAGCCGCATCCTCAGTTGTGAAGTGCGACTTTCACTGGAGGATGCTTAGTTAGGGGTCCTCACCCATTTCCCCGAGAGGCCCTTGGGCCCACAACATGAGCCTATTCCTTGACTGTAGGAGTGTGTGTACATGTGTGTACGTGAGTGTGTGGACACGTGAGTGAAAGTACATGTGAGTGTGTGAATAGGTGTTGAGTAGTAGGCTTCTGAGTCCGGGTGTTAGTTTAGGCAGGAGGGAGGGGCAGCACCCATCAGACTTCACTGCCTGGGAGCCCACCAGGTTGCTGTGGCTCTAAATCCTCACCCCAAGCCCCTCGCCCCTACCCCAGCACCTCCCAGCAGCTTCAGGAGGGATGATTCATAGGCAGGCCCAGTGGGCAGGGCCCCTCTCCCACCCCAGGGCCGGGGTGCACTTTGCCTCTGTGTGTTCCTGGGCCTCCTCCACTCCCAGCCCCTGCCACAGACCCAGGGTCTTTGGAGATGGTTTGCTGTGGCTTGGGGAGGAAGTCTGGTGGCCCACAGATCCCCAAATGACACCTCCCTCAACCCCTGGTCCTGGGCTGCTCTGTTCTCCAAGTCCTCGGATTTCTGACGGCCCAGGTGGAGCCGTCCTCACTTGTCGGGAGATGGCTTCAGGAACCCCAGTGCTGACCTCTCCCAGGTCTAGACCTTGTGTCCACTGAGATGTGTCATCTCCACCACAGACTCACAGGCTTGACAGTCTCCTCAACTCCTTCCTCACCTGCCCTCTCTCCTCACCACTGATGACCTCCCCCACTCCCGGCCTCAGCTGCTCCTCTTACTCATCCAGTCAGCTGCAGCCGGGTCCCATCACCATGGAAGGCAGTGCCAGCAGGCTGGGAGGGGCTCTGGCTCTGGAGGAGGTGGAGCTGGGTTTGAGCCCTATGGTCCCCATGTGACTGGGGCCCAGAGCTGCCCCTTGAAGCCTCAGGTTCCCCTCTCTGACCTATACCCGACCTATCTGTTCCAGGTAAGAAGACTGCATGACAGTACAAGGGTTAAGAGCCCAGAGAGGCACCCAGTTCTGGGGGTGCAGCTCTGCCCATGTGAGTTTCAGACCTCCCACTTCTCCTCCAGCTTGAGCCCTTGTT